ACTCCTAGAGAGCCAATGATGTAACCTGGCACTGCAGCTGTAACATCAGCACTGTATGCCTTTTGCCAGAAACTCGAATCCATGACGGATAGTCCAGTATCACCAATGTTATGGATCAAGCCAAAGTACCACGATCCTTGAGATTTCATCGTCAGCAGAGAGCCTTGGTAGTTGCCCTTAATGTACAAGCCCGATGTTTCCTGATATTCCACAACCATGTTATAGAGCTCTGATAAGCTTCCAACTTTATCATTTGTGATTCCAACAGTTCCAATGTACATTAGAATGATCAATGCGATAAAAGTATGGAGATAATCAGTCAGAAAAGTAGACTTCAGCCCACCAACCACAGTATAACACAGGACACCGAATGGGATCAACAAGTTCGCAGCAACTGGATGTAAACCACACAGTGCCATGAATACATTAGAAGCACCGAGAATCATCGAAGCACAAGAGAGAATGTTTGTAACAAGCGACAAGAAGATATACAGAATATGAGCAACAGTGCCATATCTCAGCTTGATGACCTCCAAAGACGTGTGTGCGTTCGGAATCTTCTTCTTCGACTCAGCAGCAACGACGGAGAGCACAGCGATCTGGACAGAGGAGGATGCGGCGTACAGATAACCAGCACAAATACCATAGCTGTAAACCATCTGAGAAGACCAGATAAGCACCGTTGCCCACATCCAACTCGAGAGCACAGCACTTCCTGTAAGACCAACACCAACCTTTCTGCCTGCAACCATAAAGTTCTCCGTGGAGTTCTCATTCTCGTTGAGATACCTATGCGATAGCTTGACGATACCTAAAATCATCAGGGCAAACAACGCACCGACACCGACTAGCATACCATACCCGACACCTTGGTCGAGAAGTTCAATCTGGGAAGTCTCAGACATCTTGAGGTATTGATCTGTTGATCTGCTGATCTACTACCCTCGTTGATGCCTGGAAACATGGGTATTCCACCTCTTATAAGTACCTATCGAAAGGTGGATAATACAATGACCATGCTGGATGTGGAGCCGAACCATCACCAAGCACACAGTAATACCAATTGTGGCAGTTGAATTTCATCTGCTCCATACCATTGTAAGAACAACGAGTCAAGAAGAAACAGTTCGTATTCGTCACCAATTAAACGCTTTCCCCTTCTGGTGATCAGGCATATTGCCGTGGATGTTGTGGCTTTTTTCCCATCGATTGTTGTAAGCATACTCCACTGGCCAGTGCATAGTGCATAAGCAACATATCCCTCTGAACCACTGTTTGAAGCTCTAAGTAGCTGGCCAAGACGCAGGCCAGAGACAGATTCATCATTTGAGGGTACGGTAGGTAAAAAGAACACACCACAACGTACAACAGCCCATACTAATGGCGATAATTGTTAATATTGGTCATGCTATTCATGGTAGAGGGAAGCTGGGCATCTCTTGCTGAGCCACTTCACGACGCATCACGTCTTAATTAGTACAGGCAGGTGCGAGCATACAATAATCAGCACACTCTCTCTTTAGAAGCACAAAATGGTGATGTGATGGCTGCAAATGTACAAGAGAAGTATTCAAAATGAAGAGAATGTTTTGAACTTGGCCATTTGGAAGGAAAAGAACAAAAACCTGAATCCCGAGATGATGAACTTGAGGCAAGCCCTGCTGCACTGCGTGCATATAAGGGCATATCAACGTGCATGAAGGCATGACGTAATGACTTAGAGCCCAAAAGAGGTAAGAAAGCGCCGATACAAGTCCAGATGGACGCTCCTTGAGTTCAGCTCGTATGTCTGAGACAATTAACCCACGATGGCTACTTCATTGGCAGAGGGTTGCATTCGGACATGTAAGCGTAGCCAAATTCTACAGTATAGATCTGTATTGAAATCATATATTGGATGCATAACGCGGTATTCAAAGCTGCTGTTCTTTCCATAATTTCCAGTCACCATGGGAAAGGTCATTCTTAATGCCAGAAAGAACCTTTAGGAGACTGTGTCTTCCATCCCACAACGGGTACAGGCCAACAGCAATGAAAGTCATATAGCTGCACATAATAGAGAACGTGACCCAGCCTTCGAAAAATGGCTTGTTGAAGATGTAGTTCCTGTAGAGAGGCAATGGCCAGAGGACCTGTGTCACCAGGACATTCACCACTGCGTAAATCCATGCCCATTTGATGTACTTATCTGCCACTTTGCCGTATTCTTCCTTTGTGAGTCCGTTTCTATAGATCTCAGGCTCTGGCTGGTGCTCGACTGTTTCTGTAGCGACCTCTTTAACATCTTTCAGTAGTGCTGGCTCAACTTCATCCGAGGATGAGTTCTCATCAAGCTCTCCCTCAGGTTTAGTATCTTCCTCAACCAATTTGGCCTGTTGAAGAACACTCCAATCAAACTTCTCAGGCTTTACAAGACTGATCAGAATGGAAAGAACTCCTGGAAGGAAAAGCGCAGCAAGTCCACCGTATAGACATGGTAATTGTTCGATGGTGGTGTTAACGTTAACTGCACCATACATCGACTTAGCAACACCCAACCAGATCCCCAAACCTGCAAAGATACCAATGATTGGACTGATGAGAACAGCTGCTTTACTCTGTCTAGACCATGTAATAGAGAATATCAATGGAATGACACCGGGACAGATCAGCATTGAGTAGAAATACGCAATCCATGTTAAAGAGACACCAACGTAGTGTAACATGATACTGAAGCCAGCAGCGAAGAAGCCAAAGAAGATGACACCAGCGTGAGATACACGAATCAACTCCTTGTTACCAGCATCAGGATTGATGTACGCTCTGTAGACATCAAACGAAAGAATGGAAGAAACACTGATAGTCTGTGCACTCACCGTTGAAGTCACAGCGAGGAAGATACTCAAAAGACCAGCACCTACTGCTGGTTTTCCCAACAGAGCATCCATTGTATAGAATAGGCCGTAAGCGTTGTTGATATCATCTGAGGTCATACTGTTTGGATAAAGTGGAAACTCAGGTGTGTGCTCAAACACTCTGTTAAGCAAACCCCATATGGTTCCAATGGGGAAACTCATACAATAAACACCCAAGGAGCCGATGATATACGCTGGAACGGTCGCAGTAACATCAGCACTATATCCCTTTTGCCAGAAACTTGAATCCATCACTGTCAAACCCATATCACCAATGTTGTGAATCAGCCCAAAATACCACGATCCTTGAGATTTCATGGTTAACAGAGATCCTTGGTAGTTACCATCTATATAGAGACCTGATTCTTCTTGAAAGTCCACCACAAGGTCATAAAGTTTGCTCAAACTTCCCACTTTGTCATTTGTAATACCGACAGTTGAAAAGTACATGAATATTATGACTGCAATGAAGGTATGGACATAATCAGTCAAGAATGTCGATTTGAGTCCACCAATCACAGTATAACACAAGACACCGAATGGGATCAACAAGTTCGCAGCGACCGGGTGTAAACCACACACTGCCATGAATACATTAGAAGAACCAAGAATCATCGATGAACAGGATAGGATGTTGGTGACCAAGGACAGGAAAATATACAAGATGTGTGTTACAGTACCGTATCTCAGCTTGATAACCTCGAGAGAAGTATGGGCGTTGGGTATCTTCTTTTTCGATTCAGCACAGACTGCTGATAGGATAGCAATTTGGACAGAAAGAGTAGCAGCATACAAGTAAGCAGCACAGATACCGTAGCTGTAAACCATCTGAGAAGACCAGATAAGCTCTGTAGCCCACAGCCAACTAGATAACACAGCACTGCTTGTCAAACCAACACCAACCTTTCTACCAGCAACCATAAAGTTCTCAGTGGAGTTCTCATCTTCATTGAGATATCTGTGTGTCAATCTAACAAAGAACAGAATCATCACTGCAAAGAAAGCACCACATCCAACGAGTATTCCATACCCGACACCTTGATCGAGAATCTCGATTGCATTGCTAGAACCCATGCTGATTGATGGTCAAGATAGGGCCAATTGTGGGTCTACAAGGCCATGGGAGATGCTATTGTTTATATATGCGGTTCTACAATTGTAGAGCCCTCTTCACAGTTTTGTTTCTCTTTGTATGTCTTTCCGGTCAAATGATCTGTCGAGGTTATCAAAGCTGATTGTTGAAGCCTTTCTCGCATTGGTGTATATGTGGCTTCTGTGAGTGTATAGGCCTTCATCGACCTCGTGGCCAAAGTGCGTTTCCATAATGCATGGACGGAGACATTGTTGATCTGCAAAGTCGGTATAGCTGCTGTGGGAGTTTTGAACGATGCATAGACTCACTGTTAGACAGCGCAACTGTGGCTTCTCATGCTAATTATCTTTCGCTCCAAGGCCCTGATCAGCTAGATTTTCAAACCTCGGAGCAAATGTTGGTAGAGCAAGATCAACTGTCTTGCAATTACAAGATTAAAAAGCATTATCTTCTTAGTTTCAGGTTACGTGAAGCAGTGCAATGAGCGTGCAGGTCGCTTTCGAAAAGTCTTAGTATAGTGAAATTAAACCGGGGTAAAACTACAATTGAATCATTTGCGTTGGCGATCTGCATCACATTTGGTCCCGTAATATGTCGTTGCCAATTATGGAGATGATTGCCACAACCGTACGTTCGAACGGCAACGTTGCAAGTGTTACACTCAGCATGTCGTAAGGCTTAGAACATACACATGTTCCCCATTGAAATCTCAATTGGATTGCAAAACATTGGCCAATTAGCCTTTGGAAGACCTAGAAATCAACCGGACATAATCCATTTACTCCAAAACTCATCGTGGAACTGCGTTGAAAACACACACTGTTCTTGTGCTTGATGAATTTATTAGATTATTGACATCATTTGTTGACAATCTGATCCACACTTACTCATCAACTGAACCACAAGTCTATTCGTGGATGTTTAATGTCTCAAGCTACCACACCGAGACCTGTGTCAGAGGGCATGCGCAGAATATTTCACTGTCTAATTATCGCAGTATGAACCCATGACGGGATATGCAAATGAGAACGAGATTATCTTTTGAGGAAGTCCACACAACGCACAATGCGTCAGAGAGTACACGAGCTCACCATTGGAAAGGATCTACGTGTGAAAGCTATTCCTGTATTCCAGAACCAGCAGTGAAATTCCATCTAATAGAAACAAAAGACTTATTCCTTTTCTTTTCGCCAGATCTTCCAGTTCCCCTGCTTGAAATCCTGCCTAATACCACGAAACACTTTCAAAAGACTGTGTCTACCGTCCCATAATGGATAAATGCCAACGGCAATGAACGTAGCGTAGGTGGTCATTATGGATATAACGACCCATCCTTTGAAGAATGGTTTAGTAAAGACATAATCTCTGTACAAGGGTAATGGCCAGAGCACCTGTGTGACGAGAAGATTGAAGATAGCATAGATCCAGGCCCATTTGATATAGCTGTTACACTTTTGCTCGTACTGCTCCTTTGTGAGTCCATTTCTATAGATTTGAGGCTGTGCTTCTACAACCTCAGAGGTTAAACCCTTCTCAACATTAACATCATTTGTGGTGATGTTCTGAAGTTCAACAGAAGAGGAGTCCTTATCCACTGCAAATACTTCATTTCCATCGTCTTCTTCAACCAGTAGCTTGGCCTGCTTGAGAACTTCCCAGTCAAACGGCTCAGAAGGTCTAAGGAAAGAAATAATCACTGTAAGGAAGCCAGGAAGGAACAACGCAGTTATGCCACCGTAGAGACATGGCAATTGCTTTATTGTCGTGTCAATGTTGACAGCACCGTACATGTGCTTGGCCACACCCATCCAAACTCCAAGACCAGCACAGATTGTCACAACGGGACTGATCAGGACAGCAGCTTTACTCTGCCTCGTCCAGGTAATAGAACAAATCAATGGAATAACACCTGGACAGGTAAGCATGGACTTGAAATACGCCAGCCATGTTACGGAAATGTCGGCATAGTGCAACATGATACTGAAGCCAGCAGCAAAGAAGCCAAAGAAAACAACGCCAAAATGGGAGACTCGAATCAATTCACTGTTGCCAGCATCAGGGTTGATGTATGCTCTGTAGATATCGAAGGAAAGGATAGAAGATACACTAATAGTCTGTGCACTCACAGTGGAGGTTACAGCAAGGAAGATGCTAAAGAGACCAGCACCAACAGCACCTTTACCGAGCAGAGCGTACATGGTATAGAACAAGCCGTACGCATTGTTAATATCCATTTTGCTCATTCCGTCTGGATAGAGTGGAAACTCAGGCCTGTTTTCAAATACTCTGTTCAACAGACCCCAAATGGTGCCAATGGGGAAACTCAGAGAGTAAACACCAAGAGAGCCAATGATATAAGCTGGGACCGTTGCGGTGACATCTGCACTATACGCCTTTTGCCAAAAACTCGAATCCATAACAGTCAAGCCAATATCACCAATGTTATGAATCAAACCAAAATACCATGACCCTTTAGACTTCATTGTTAAGAGCGAGCCTTTGTAGTTACCCTTAATGTACAAGCCCGATGTCTCCTGATACTCAACAACCAAGTCGTACAACTTGCCAATGCTTCCGACTTTGTCGTTGGTTACTCCAACAGTTGCAATATACATGAAGATAATCAATGCAATAAAAGTGTGGATATAATCAGTCAGGAAAGTGGATTTCAATCCTCCAATAACTGTGTATAGAAGCACACCAAAGGTGATGAGTAAATTTGCTGCAACTGGGTGCAATCCACACAATGCCATAAAGACAGAAGATGCACCAAGAATCATCGAAGAACATGATAAGATGTTTGTAACCAACGACAGAAATATGAAGAGAACGTGTGCACTAGTACCGTATCTCAGCTTGATAACTTCAAGAGAGGTATGGGCATTAGGAATCTTCTTCTTCGACTCAGCTCCAACAGCAGATAGAACTGCAATCTGTACAGAAAGAGTAGCAGCATACAAGTAACCAGCACAGATACCATAGCTGTAAACCATCTGAGCCGATAGGATTAGTTCAGTAGCCCATAACCAACTGGAGAGCACAGCACAACTCGTGAGCCCAACGCCAACTTTTCTACCAGCAACCATAAAGTTTTCAGTGGAGTTTTCATTCTCGTTGAGATATCTGTGAGTCAGTCGAACAACAAACAGAATCATTACTGCAAAGAAACCACCGCAACCAACAAGCATGCCATAACCGACACCTTGATCGAGAATCTCAATCTTTGAAGATCCCATGGCTTGTATTACTCGACCAAAATGATGGATATTTGAGTTTCAAATCCCTTGTGGATCTTTAAATACTGCTGGTGGGTTTGTGGTGAAGGACATGATCAATTAACATGGACCTTTAGATGATGGTTACGGTATACGCGAGACAAGCACCGGACAGTTGTGGCTTCCACACAGATCAACGTCGTAGGTCAAGAAGGAGATCACCACTGCGATCAGAGCTTCTTGAAGGTTGATTTTAAAGCCACTACCGAGTTGCTAGATGGGTGAAAATTGTACCTTGAAGATCTCCCTCTAATTAATAATTGTGCCTTGTGTGGTTGGAGTGTGGCTTTCAAGAAGGAGGAAAGGCAAGCAATACAAAAATGGTTACCAAATAGCCTGTGTAGGTCACAATGAGTGAACGATACAGAATCAGAGCCGGCTCACTCTCTCAGCACAAGACTGGTCTTACGCTGAGCAGCGACTAGGATCCAATCTCACACGGTAACTTCCACGGAATTAGTGGAAAGAAGACACTGACGTATCATATTATGCAAGGCAGTCGAAAGTTGATGCAACAAGCTCACCGGTATAAATTGACGGAAACCCAACCCCGACTATATACATAGAAACCACAATTAGTTGATAGGAACGGCATGTTGCAAGATCATTAGTTCATGTGGTCTCGAGGAGTACATAACCATGCACTTGGTTTGTATTATTTGATGAATTTATTTATTTTTTCAGCTGTATTTAGATGGCAGAGTTTATCCGAGGTGGCTGAGTAGTCAATGCTTACCATTCTGGGGGGAGGTTATACCAGGAGAGGAAGAGATAAGTGATGAAAATTATGAAGTCTCCTTCTTGGTGATTAGGGATCTCCAGTTACCTTCTCTGAGATCCTCCTTAATACCTCGAAGCACTTTCAACAGACTATGTCTGCCATCATACAGTGGGTATAGACTCACTGCAACAAACGTCATATAAGTTGTCATGACGGAAAACGTCACCCAGCCAGAGAAGAAGGGCAGGTTGAAAATGTAGTCTCTGTAAAGAGGCAGTGGCCAAAGGACCTGTGTTACCAGTGTATTGACAACAGCATAGACCCAAGCCCACTTTATATACTTATTGGCCTTCTCCTCGTACTCTTCTTTGGTAAGACCATTTCTGTAGATCTCAGTGTCTGGTTGACGTTCCACAGTTTCATGGCTGAAAACACCTTTTTCCTTTGTAACAGCTTCATTGTTGTCAAGATCTTGTAATTCTGAGGAGGATGAGCTTCTGCCACTATCATTATCACCATCTTCATCGACGAGTAATTTAGCTCTCTTCAACACTTCCCAGTCAAACTTTTCCGGTTGAATAATTGAGAATATAACCACGAGTACACCTGGAAGAAATAACGCAGTCAAACCTCCGTAGAGACAAGGTAGTTGCTGGATAGTTGTTTCTAGAGTGACTGCACCATACCAAAATTGTGCAAGTCCTAGCCATACGCCCAAGCCTGCCATAATACTGATGATTGGACTCACCAAGACAGCCAGTGTACTCTGCCTAGACCATGTAATAGAGCAGATCAGAGGGATAACACCAGGACAGATGATTGTGGACTTGAAGTATGAGATCCAAGTGACTGTAATGCCGACATAATATAACATGATACTGAAGCCAGCAGCAAAGAAGCCAAAGAAAACAACACCAGCGTGGGATACACGAATCAACTCCTTGTTGCCAGCATCAGGGTTGATGTACGCTCTGTAGATATCAAACGAAAGAATGGAAGAAACACTGATAGTCTGTGCGCTCACCGTTGATGTCACAGCGAGGAAGATACTCAAGAGACCAGCAACCACTGCGCCTCTACCCAGTAAGGCATACATGGTATAGAATAGTCCATATGCATTGTTGATGTCATACTGTGTCATGCCATTTGGATAGAGTGGAAACTCAGGCGTGTGCTCAAACACTCTGTTAAGCAAACCCCAAATTGTACCAATTGGGAAGCTCAGACAGTAAACACCAAGAGAGCCAATGATATAAGCCGGGACCGTTGCTGTGACATCTGCACTGTACGCCTTTTGCCAGAAACTTGAATCCATCACTGTCAAACCCATGTCGCCGATATTATGGATGATACCAAAGAACCATGAGCCTCTTGATTTCATAGTAATGAGAGAGCCTTCGTAATTGCCATTAATATAGAGACCAGACTCTTCTTGGAAGTCCACCACAAGGTTATACAGATTGGACAAGCTTCCAACCCTCTCGTTGGTGATTCCCACTGTTCCGATGTACATAAATATTATCAAAGCGATAAAAGTATGAACGTAGTCTGTCAAG